GTTCAGCAGGATTTCAACACATAGGAAAACACTACATAGATAGCCACACATTTAAAGAGTTGGGGGAAAGAAACAAGTTTGCAGGATTAGCAGTCATGACACTAAATCAATTGAGGCCTAAGAGGTTCAGATTAAGCTAAACATGCATCTTAGGGTCATGCTAATCAGTATTTGGGCATGATGGGGAACATATTTTGTGATAAACACTGGAAGAAACAGGGTACCAAATGAACAAGGGACAGACTAGAAAACATATTAGCATAGAAGCAGGATCATAGTCCATAGCAAATAGTTTTAATACAAATTGCAACACATTGTATATGCAGAACAAACATGGCAAGGACTTAGAACAATGTAAGATAGCAAACTCATACCAAATATCACTTATGGGTATTCTGGGATTGTCATAATAGACTAAAGAACTAGAGAAGATCTAAATCATGTCACAAAATGGTTCAAGCAGGTCATAGAAAAATAGGTTGAGGTAACTGTTAAGATCTCAGTCAGTTACTAATAGGGTATGGGGTTCAAGTGAGCATGTTGAGTGACAAGATAGCAAGTGAACATGTTAGAATTAACACAGATATTCTAGCATTTATTATAGAGGTTAAAGATAAAACAAACAAGCATGATTAGGGAAACATCCTAACACCGTTGCACTCAGATTACCCAAGTTAGGCTTGGGTAAACACAGAACTAGTAGCATTAGGAAGAGAGACAGATGCTAAAATACTTAGAACAAGGTAGAATTAACATAATCACATGCAAAAGTAATCCAGTAAACATATTAAGCTAAGAATTTCAGAGGTGAGAACATACGCAAATCAAGAACACATAGGGATGAAACTGCAAGAGTCTAGTAGCTTACCAGTTAAACGAACAACACACAAAAACAAAAGATCCACAAGAGTCCAGAAGAGTTCGAACAATAGATTCATTGTGGCCTTGGCTTTCAGCCGGCCACCACAAAATAAATAGCAAGATAATAAGGAATTCATAGAGCAAAGCCTCAAGTTTTAGTGAGATTATGTCGATTAAGGTCTGTTCAAAAAAGGGAATGGGGAGGGGTTTATATAGTAATAGAAATTAAACACCCAAACAAGGAAAATCATCAATCAAACACGAAAAAGGAAAAGATATCACATGCAATTGAGAATCAGTAAGGAAAAGAGAAAAATTTCAAACCCTAATTTTAGGAAAAATGAAAAAATCGGCAGAATCTAAAATAAAAAAATCAAACACCACACACAATATGATGAATATAGACAAAATATCACCCAAAATCAAAGAATCGAACCAATTTTGGTTCTATCTAAAGATATCTGAAAACCCTAGTTCTAGGGTAAGTAAGAATCAACAAAAATACACAGAGATTCGTACCCATATTAGAACAAAGGATGACTACAGATGGAATAGCAGAAAGGTCAAGGATTTGAACCGATTCTGGTTCGATTTTGATGAGATTTGCTTGCCATGTTTAGGAAAGCACCATAAGAGAGTAACCAGTACCAAGAGGAGGCCGTATATTGCAAGCAATAACAGTCGAATCCCATATCTGGTGGGATTAGGAGAAGGATTTGAGTGGAAGACGGCTAGGGTTTAGTTGAAGAAGAAGAGGGATGAGAGCATATGAGGGCGGCGGGTTGGATGAAATGATTAGGGTTTGGGGGGGGGGGGGTTAATTACAAAAGGGAAGAAGGGATGTGGGCCGTTGATCTTGAAAGATCAATGGCTGGATTTAAAATGGACGGGGCGGGTTAAAATAAACGGGTACCGACCGGTTATGGGATTGGGCTAATTGATTTGGGCTGGGGGTTATTTGGGCTAGGGTATTAAGTGTTGGGTAGTTTTAGGTCTGAATTTGGTTTTAAAAAAATGGGCTATTATTTAAATACACAAAATTTAACAAAATAATTTATAATAATGCTTTAATAAATAAATAAAAATGTTATTTATGTAATAAAATGATTAACAATAATAATTTAGCATTATAAAAATATATAAGGCTATTTTGACACAAATAGTATAGATAAAAAATAATTATATATGAATATAGGCTATTATTGCAAAATTAGGTAAATAACTTAAAAATGCAAACATAATTATACGAAATAAAGTAAAAAAATATTATGAAACATATATGAGGATGCACAATAGTAATTCTAATAATTAAGTCATCACAAAATAATTTGAAGGAATAATTAATAATATTCAAGTAATTAAAATGCAGAAAAATCAATTTAAAGCTCTAAAAATTATGAAAAATTATAGAAAATATCTGTATAGGTTTATAAACTAAATGACGATGCAAATATACTATTTTGAAAGTTTATATATACAATTTAAAAATATGAGAGAAAAATTGGGTATCAACAAAGAGTTGATCTATGTGCAGAGGTAACTAATCAAGAGATTGTTGAGAGTTTTAAAGCAATTGGTGATGATAAAGCTCCAGGTATTGATGGCTTTAATGCAGTTTTCTTCAAAATAGCATGGGACATTATCAATATGTAGATCATAGATACTATAAAGGAATTCTTCTCAACTGGAAAGATCTATAAGGCAATAAACTGCACCACTGTTACATAAGTTCCTAAAGTGACTAAGCCTACCACAGTCAAAGAATATAGACCGATAGCCTGCTGTTCAATCCTATACAAGATGATCTCTAAGATCTTGGCTTCTAGATTGCAGAAAGTCATGTCATTCATCATATGTGGAGCTCAAGCAGGTTCCATACCTGGTAGAAAAATTGCTGACAATGTTATCCTAGCCTATGAACTAGTTAAATCCTATACTAGGGCTCAGATATCTCCTAGGTGTATGATAAAGATTGATCTCCAAAAAGCCTATGACTTAGTAGAATGGATCTTCTTACAACAGGTGATGGAAGAGATTGATTTTCCTGATAGATTTATCAAATGGATAATGGAATGCATCAAGATAGTCAACTATACTATCCTTGTGAATGGAGAAACCACAGAACCTTTCAATGCTGCTAAGGGTCTTCGACAAGGAGATCCTATTTCCCCTTTCTATTTGCAATAGTGATGGAGTACTTGAGCAGATCATTACATGAGATTAAGAAGGAAACTACATTCCAGTATCATCCCAGATGTAAGAAACTGGACATAACTCATATGAGTTTTGCTGACGACCTCTTGTTATTTTCCAAAGGTAGTCTATCCTTAGTGGCCACATTATACAAATGCTTCTCTCAGTTCTCTGAAGAATTAGGTTTTCAGGCTAATTTGGGTAAAAGTTCAGTGTATTTTGGAGGGGTAAAACAAGATGTGAAGGAATAGATTTTGGCCCACCTGGGATTTGGACAAGGATCCTTGCCCTTCAAATACCTAGGCATTCCTTTATCTACAAAGAAAATAGCTCTCATACAATGGCAGCCTTTGATTGAAAACATCACATCCAAGATATCTTCATGGAATGCAAAAAAGCTATCTTATGCAGGTCGTGTATAGTTGGTTCGATCTGTTATTTTTGGCATTCAAGCTTACTGGGCTCAATTGATCATCTTGCCCACTAAGGTATTGAAAATGATTGAGTCACTCTGCAGAAGCTACATATGGTCTGGAACTAACACAATAACCAAGAATGCATTAGTTGCATGGGAAAAGATATGTACTCCTAAGTCAGCTGGTGGACTTAATCTCATAAATCTATCTCTGTGGAACAAAGCACCAATTGCCAAAACATGCTGGGACTTAGCTCATAAAAAGGACAAACTATGGATAAGGTGGATCAATGCTTACTACATCAAACAGCAGCAGCTACAACATATGTCAATACCTCAACAAGCAAGTTGGATGGTGAGAAGAATTATTGGTTCAAGAGTTATCATGTTACAGGCTCAGAACTTAAATGATCACAACAAAAGCATTATCAGACAAATATACCTACAATTGTTAGGAGATTTGCCAAGGGTGAGCTGGAAGTGTCTAGTCTTTCACAACTCTGCAAGAACAAAGGCAGTCTTCACCATATGGATGTTACTTCATGGAAGACAGCCTACTAAAGATAGGCTAGTCAACTTGGATTAAATGTTACCCCATAGTGTGTTATGTGTCAAGGTCAGGTTGAATCAAGGGAGCACCTCTTTGTGCAATGTCCATATACTATTGATATGTGGAAGAAAATCATGAAGTGGATTCAAAGTGTACAAATGATCACCACCTGCTGGGACCAACACATCCAGTGGATCATCAAGCAAGGAAAAGGGAAATCCAATAAGGCTAGCATATTCATAATGATCTATGATGAGACCTCATATGCAATATGGATTGAAAGCAACACTTGTATATTTGAGCAAAGGTATCGAGGCAGTGATGTTCTTGCAAGGGAGATAGCATATATCTGCAATGTTATAGTAGCTACTCGGGCTAAGAGTTATATACAGCAGTTTTGTATAGAAATAGAGTAGATACATTAGTGGTATACGTAAATAGGTTTGCTATGTTTGCCTTTACACTTAGAGATAGTCAGCTGAGTTAGCTTGGTTATGGTTTTGTACCGTTCATCTTTGGTGATTAATACAAAAGAAAGTTAATTACCAAAAAAAAAAGAAAAAGAAAAGTGTACCAAATAAGGTATTATTTTATCTAATGCATCCTACCAAACGACTCCTAGTAGTACTTAGTATTCCCTTCCCTTGATGTAACAAAAAAACAATGTATTCTCTTTTTATTCTTTTCATTTTGCAGCACAACTCTTTCTCATCTCCTTAGTTTAATTTTTGGAAGACTTTATAAGTTGCACGGTGTCAGCTCTCTGTAACAAAAAGAAAATAGAACAACTCTAAATATAAATCTAGCTAGTCCCCTCTTGTTGAACAACTTTTTGTTACACACTAATGGGTAGTTTTGATTTTATCTAATTTAGTACAATCGACCAAATCCTTCAGTACAGTATTTTCGACAGCTCCGATCTTGATAAATCCTTTAATAAACCTGGCGCTTCTCATGTAAAAGCCCAAGCTGACCTTACAGTGTCACAAGTCGTAATATTATTTTCATTCATCAAAACAAAATAATTACACTATTAACTGAAGAATAAGAATTTATCATCACAGATTCAAAACAGAATTGACAAATCTGCAGATTATAATGACTATGTCCGGTACATGATAATGAAACAGCGGAACCATTAATACAAGAAGCAAGTAAACAGCCGGTGGCGCGTGACGGACCTACGGTGGATCAGCCGCCGAGATTAAGAAGAAGGAACAATAACAGTGCGCATCATATCCTTGAATTCAACGAAATCAACTTGGCCATCGTGATCTTGGTCAACTGATGAAATCATCATCTCCACTCTATCAATTTCATTTCCTTCAGGCAATCCCAGTTTCTCTAGTACAGCCTGTAATTCCTTCGCCGATATAAAACCGTCGCCGTTCTCATCAAACACGTTAAACGCATCCTGCAGATCCACTTCATCCTGATCCGGATCCTGATCCAACCCGATCTTATCCTCATATTTTGACCCGAAGAAAACATCGTCGAGTGAGCGATGTAGAGCCTCAAAATCTTCGAATCTAAGGCCGTTGTTTCCTGATTTGATATATGATCTCACCATTGATTCAATTTCCGATTGATCGGCATCTAACCCTAGCAAATTAAACGCTTGACTAAGTTCGTCAACGCTGATCAAACTGTCATGGTTTCTGTCAAACACGTCGAAGATCCGACGAAGACGAATTGAATTGAGGCTCGGGCTTCGAAGCCGGAACGACGATGAGGAAGAAGACTTAAGTTTGCCTCTGGTAAGGCTCTGTTTACACTCGTCCTGTACTCCATTATTGTCACCTACTGATCCCATCGGTTTCTTCTTGTGAAAGATTTCTATAAACTATCTCTTTGTCAAAATTTTGATGATGAAAAGCAAAAACTGAGAAGATTTGAATAAATATAGGAGCAGTAGGAATATCAGTAGGAAGCAGTGTGGATATGGGAATGGAAAATTTAGGAATGGGAAGTTGGATTTGACAGATGAGAAAATTATGAATGGATCGTGGATGGCTGGCGGGTTTTAGAATTAAAAATGGGAAGGAGTGGAGGAAAATTAAGATACCGCGCATTTGACCTGTCCGGGTCTGCATTAGCGCGTACAAAGTCTTTGGTTCAACCACCATCTTTTTGTCCTACAGGCCAGTAAACTTCTTTTGAACCGATAATTGTCCAACATCATATAAGTTTATTTGTTAACTTCAACTTAACATGGGACTCAACGCTCCCTTTCTTTTAAACCTTATTTGTGATGTGAGAATTGCCGAAAATCATATAAAACGGTTCTTTTTTAACTCACATGATATGGGACTCAATACCTCCTCTAACGCCCTGGAGCTGTATGGGGTCGAATTTGACTAACCACGTCCCACCGCCTGCGTGACTAACCGTCGAATGTATACGACTCGGCACAAGGGAACGACCCCGGGGTGAGGTGGGGGACAACCTCGACCTGTTATTAGTTTCGTTATAAAGTACACTGACGTTATCACTCCTAGGGTTTAGCTCGAATCCCTCTATTATATAAAGGGGGTCCGAACATTGTAATAAGGGGGAACTTGTAACAAAAGAACTGACTCTCTCTCTAATATTTATCTCTCTAATCTTTATCTCTCTATCTCTCCCTCTCTATTATCCATACATTGTTGTTATTATTCCGATTAGTAAAACGATCCTGGGGATTATTATCTCCGACTATGATTTACCCTTTCACTTCTGTGATTGATTTGCTTAAAAGGATTTTAACATCTTTTGAGTCAAACAATTTGGCGCCGTCTGTGGGGATTTCTGTAGTCGAAATCATAGTTCTCACCTGGGATATCAAACGATCTCTGTCCTTCGCACTCCATAGAAATCAGCGATGGCAGAGAAAGAAGCAAGGTTGAAAGCGATAGCGAATGTCTCAAACAACCTCTTAGACTCCCTCAACGAAGCTGGTAGAGAAGACAACGAGAATATAACACCAAGAGGTATATCGGAGGGGGAGATCTCACCCTCTATACTCGAGGATCTGACGATCTTGCGCGAAAGAGGAACTTCGACATCTACGGTGAGGGAAACACCAACAGCAGTCAAAAAGCTGTTAGAAGAATGGTTGACAAGCGCTCTAAACACCATGCTCGAAAAACCCTCTCTAGGAAATACCGGAGATTCGCCAACGTTGGAAGTCGCTGCTGTCACCAGCGAGCCAAGCACTGTACAAACAATCAACAATCGCACTACCACCGATGAAAGTGATGGTACACTTGCAGCCATCCTAAAGAAAGTGGAAGAAATGGAAAACGAGAACAAGATGCTTCGTGACCAAATGAAGGAACACCAAGAAAGGGTTGACAAAATACCCGGCGCCCCTAAGCTGCTGCCAAAGCGCGATGTGGGAAGGTTTGTCGAGCAACCTTACAGTGAAGAAGCTGCTCCCCATCCCATCCCGAAAACCTTTAAAATGCCGCCCTACTTGAGAATATATGACGGAACCTCGGATCCAGAAGATCACCTGATCTATTACGTCACTGCGGTAAAAGGTAACGACTTGTCGAAAGAGCAAGTGCCATCCGTGCTGTTGAAAAAGTTCGGTGAGACTCTGACAGGAGGAGCGCTAACCTGGTATTCTCAGCTACCAGTATGGTCGATTTCAACGTTCGAGGAAATGGCGGATAAGTTCGCTATTGCACATACAGGAGCAAAGAAGGCTGAAGCTAGGGTCAACGATATCTTCGCCATCAGACAAACGGCGGGTGAGGGGATTTCGAGACTTCCTAGCCCGGTTCAACAGGGTAAGAATGGGACTGCCAAATGTGTCGGAAGGAATGGCGGTCGCAGCTTTCCAGAATGGTTTAAGCAGAAGCGGGTCGAAGGCGACCAAGAAGTTACTCAATAGACTCATGAAGTACCCTCCCACCACATGGGAAGAAATCCATAATGCCTATTGCGCCGAAGTAAGAGCAGACGAAGACGATCTCAACGGTCCGACCCAGCGACTGACGTCGGTACAATCCGAGGTAAGGAGGGATCGACGTAACGACGGAAGAAGGGATCAGCTCCCGCGCTTCAACAGAGAAAGGCATCAGCCCTATGTCAGAACCCATAATCCGCCTCCCCCGAGGCACGCAGATGTCGTGCCGCGACATATTGCGCCCCTTCGAAACGAAAAAGGTATGCCTCCGTTATTATCTGCTCATAACTTTTGTGTCTCCCCTTCAGAAATAGTGTGCGCACTGGAGAAGCTGGGCACGAAGGTACAATGGCCACAAAAGATGAAATCAGACCCAAATGCAAGAAGGTCAAATGTCCTCTGCGAATTCCATTAGGAAAGAGGACACAAGACCGAGGATTGCATAGGATTACGACAGGAGGTGGTTAGAATGCTGAACCAAGGATACCTGAAAGAACTGCCCAGCGACAAAGGGAAGGCCAACTTCGCCAGAGGATGCGACCCATCTCAAGGACCACCCAGGCCACCGTCACCGGCGCGTACCATACAAATGATTATCGGCGGTGGCGACGACTTAGTGATCAACCACGTAAAGCTTGCCACCACGCATAAGCTGAAGCGAACAATCACTCACGAACGGTATGACGGCTTCGAAGACAGTATCATCTTCGAAAAGTCAGATGTCGACGGTTTGTCTTTCCCTCATTACGATGCTTTAGTCATAACATTGCGCATCGCTGATACAGATGTAAAAAGAATTATGGTAGACGACAGAAGCGGCGCGTGTATTATCCACCCAAGATTCCTCATGCGAATGAAGCTCGAGGATAGGATAATACCAAGTTGCATAACACTAACGGGTTTTAACAATGCAGTAGAGCGGACATCTAGAGAAATAACACTACCAGTCCTAGCTGGGGGAGTCACGCTGGAAACCACATTCCACGTCATGGACCAGGAAACCGCTTATAATGCTATCATAGGACGCCCATGGATACACGCCATGCGAGCCGTCCCCTCAAGCTTCTATCAGGTAATCAAGTTTCCCACCCCGTGGGGAATTTTTGGCATTCGAGGCGAGCCGCGTACCGCCCAGGAGTGCTACCGAATTGCCCAAGATTACACACATACCAAGCAGTTAAAAGGGGCTAGCGCGGAAGCATAGCAATCAGCCACGTCGGGAGCTAAAACTGACCTGCCTGAAGAAGTCATCATAGAGCCCGACGTTGTAGAGGCTAGCAAAGCAACTATCAAAGATCTCGACACGGTACACCTGGACGACGCCGACGACACAAAAAAGGCTTATATCGGCCACAATCTCTCCGAGCCAGGTAAGTATCGTGAATTTTTGGCTAACAATGCCGATTTACTGGCCTTTTCACACTCAGATATGCCGGGGATTCCAAAAGACATCGCCACTCATAGGGTGAATGTCGATCCACTCTATCCGCCCGTGCGGCAGATGAGGAGGAAATTCAATGCCGCGATTAACGAGGCAGTCAGTGAAGAAGTAGACAAATTACTGGCTAACGGCTCCATCAGAGAATCGAAATACCCCCAATGGGTCGCTAATGTGGTCATGGTCAAAAAGAAAAACGGCAAGTGGAGAATGTGCGTGGACTTCACCGATCTGAACAAGGCGTGTCCGAAAGATTCCTTTCCCTTGCCCCATATCGACCAATTGATCGACGCAACAGCGGGACATGAACTGCTGAGTTTCTTGGACGCCTACTCCGGCTATAACCAAATCCTAATGGCCGAGGAGGATCAAGAGAAAACAACTTTCATTACCCACCAAGGGACTTACTGCTATAAGGTGATGTCATTCGGACTCAAGAATGCGGGGGCCACATACCAGAGGTTAGTTACCAAGATGTTCAAAGAACAGCTCGGCAAGACAATGGAGGTTTACATCGACGACATGTTGGTGAAATCAGCCAAGAAAGAAGACCATATCGGTCATTTGAAAGAGGCCTTCGAGATATTAAAGCAATACGGGATGAAACTGAATCCGGAAAAATACGCCTTCGGCGTGGCCTCAGGAAAATTTGTGGGTTTCCTTGTATCACAATGAGGCATCGAGGTCAACCCGGACCAGATCAAGGCCATAGACACGATACCTGAGGTACTGAACAACAAGAAACAGGTACAAAAGCTGACGGGGCGAATAGCTGCCCTATCGAGGTTCATTTCACGATCCTCGGACAGGTGCCACAAGTTCTTCAATGTACTGAAAAAGGATCATGGACTACAGTGGAACGAAGAGTGCATCGCCGCCTTGAGGAAACTAAAAGCATATCTGTCTTTGCCACCACCACTCGTCAAGGCAGACCCAGGCGAGAGTTTGCTCGTATACCTAGCGGTATCCGAAGTCGCCGTCAGCGCAGTCTTAGTCCGCGAATATAAATGTACGCAATCCCCTATTTACTATATTAGCAAGACCTTAATCGACGCCGAGACAAGGTATCCACACCTTGAAAAACTGGCTCTGGCACTAGTCGTAGCTTCATGAAAGCTTAGACTGTACTTTCAGTGTCACCCCATAAAAGTAATAACAACATTTCCCCTAAGGGGCATTCTGCATAAACCCGAGCTCTCAGGCAGTCTCGCCAGATGGGCCATAGAGCTCAGCGAGCATGACATAACATATCACCCGCAAACTGCCATTAAGTCGCAGGTACTCGCCGACTTTGTTGCCGATTTCAGTGCGGAAATTCTGTCGGAAGCGGAGCAAGAGGCCCTTCGCACCTCCACTCTCACCGACATTTGGACCCTCTATACTGACGGAGCCTCGAATGCCTCGGGATCAGGACCGGGACTCGTCCTCAAAGTCCCTACAGGCGAAATAATTTGCCAGTCCATACGATGTCCCGAGATGACTAACAACGAGGCCGAGTACGAGGCTGTGGTTGCAGGTATGAAGTTAGCACTCAAGTACTGAGCCCGGCGACTCATCCTCTACTGCGACTCTCAACTCGTCGTAAATCAAGTAATCGGGACTTTCCAAATTAAAGAACAAAGACTACAGAAGTACCAATCAGAGATCCACAAATTGATGCCAGAATTCTACGAATGCCGACTCGAGCAGATACCCAGGGCACAAAACATTGAAGCAGATGGCCTAGCCAAGCTAGCCGC